CTACCAATAAGTTTGGGAATATTTATTCTTATTGTATTAGATCATATATACGTTTGTGCAGAGATTTGAGTTGTATTTTTAGATATAAGGATTGACTATGACTTTTTCCAATACTACCTAGTTATTTTGGATTAAATATAGGTTCTATAAAAGGTATTAATTTCTTTAAAAGTGATCAAAGTGGAAATCCTCTTCTTTTTATAATGGACATTTGATGGTGAAATTATCCAAGTAAACAATGGTTTAACTTCTGGAAATAAAAAGTTTAACTTATGATAGATGAGTATGATAAAAATTTAAGATTGGAGGCTTAGTGTGCTTGGCTACTTATGCCTGCAGGGAGTGTAGCCGAACATTAGGTCCAGTCTAATCCGGGAAGGGGGATTGGGAAAAATTATGAACCACTTCTTCATCTTAAGTTTGAGCACTTTATATTTGCATTGTGTAATAGAGTTAATCTTCATTCTCTATTGTAAATGTTAAAAGATATAAGCACCATAAAGATAGCCCCACCTAGTTTTTAGTGGGTACGATGTTATTGGTTCTTAAGGGACACTAAACATTTGATGCACTTTCAAGAAAAATAGTTCAAAAGAGTCTTAGAGAATAATTATTAAGATCAAGTAATTTCAATCAAAATATATATGCTTAAGTGATATATTGATTAAAGTTTCATAATATTATATTATACGGCATTTAATCAATAAATATATGTTTTTGCATATATTGTTATGAAATATTTTCCAACCAAGAAGATCTAAGTTTTGTATTTTTTATTGAAACAAAAAAATATAATTGGTGCTTCATTTGTGTTTTTGAGTTTCTTCTTAATCATAGCCTTGTGCTACAAGCTGGAAATAGCTTTGAAGGCTCAAGATTGGCCATAAACTAAATTGAAGCCATACTCTTGCAATAAGCCTTGTGACAGGTTAGGCAACTTATTGCTCATTACAAGTTTTGGATTTAATCATTCCCAAAGTATGTGTTACCCAAAGATGTCGCCTAACTACATCAGACTCTTTGCAAGCTTTAAATTTGGAAGGTAGTTAAGTGTTACATTTTACAAGGCAATTTATTTTGCCTTGCAATAGGAAAGGTGAATATTACAATTGTCCTTTATTGTGCAAGATAAAAATTTAACTTATACTTCCTAATATATAGATATTTATATATATAAAATGCTTCTAATACAACTAGTTCGATCACACAAAATCCTTCTCTCTTTTTGATGCCATTTATCATTAACATGCCCCTAGTTAATCTTATTGTAGTCATCATCACCATTTAAATAGAAGAACATAAAATTATCTAAAGTAGAGAGCATCTTGAAGTAGTTTTTAGTTGATTTTGACAAGAAAATCCATGTTTAGCACAAACAAGTGTTTAAAAATTTCAAGAAGCTGATTTTTCACAGTTCCATCAAATTATAATATATATCTATCATGGAAATATCATCTCTGAAAACCATTAACCCATTTTTTGTTGGCAAATTCTTTTCCATTTTTTCCCATCTATTGGTTTAATAAGATTTCTTTCTATGTAAGCTTTGACAATGATTCGTGATCAACATTTTTTTATTTGTTTCCATTTCAGCCAAGCCCTACATATCAATATTAATAAGATAATATGCTTTGATAGGGCTAAAATATTTTGAATTTGTCCTCAAAATGTATGCCACGTGGCAAACCCTACCCTTCAAGTAGCATGGCAATCCTCAAATGCAAGATAAACATGCCTTTGCAGGGCTTTTCAGGGTACAAATTTGAGGCCTAACTCCTTTTACAAACCTTTTAATTAGGTCAACACCAGTTTTGACATTTGATCTTGTTTTTTCATCAGGTTATATTCCTATGCAATACTATCCATCTGCTTCAATAAAACTCTGACCACCTTAAGCTTGATTGTAATGTGGCGCCATCCATTGCAGCCTATTTGTCACATTTATGTAGCATGGCACCAATTTTAGAATATGTAGTACAAGCAAATCAAATTTGGCACTAGTCAATGATAGTCAACAGTGTTTAGGTTACGGAGATGGAGGAGGCTAAAGGCAAGGGGAACGAGGCGGTCAAGGCGGGCGATTTCGCCCAAGCTCTAGATCACTACAAGCAGGCGATCGCGATTGCCGTGGCGGATCCAGCGAGAGCGGATGATCTGGCGGCCTTGCACAGCAACTGCTCGTTTGCGCACCTCAAGCTGGGGCAACTGATCGAGGTATTGAAACGATCAATCATAACTTTAAATGCGATCATCTGCAATCCAACTAGGCCTTGGATGAAGCAATTAAATCCGTGCATGCAAACAGCAAATGGAGCAAAGTAAGCGGCTCTTTGGATCCTTGGAGAAAATGTGATGAAAGTTTTTTTTCTTTCCTCTTTACATGTAGGCTCACTTTCGATGCGGGGAAGTTTACTTTGCGATGCGGGATTACGGTCGTGCGGAGGAAGCATATGCACAAGCAGCTCAACTGGTACGATCTCGCTCTCTTTTCCTTGTTGCTTTCGAGTTTTTCGTTTTATCTTTATCTGTGTAGCTTGCAGTCTCCAGCAGATGAAACCATCGGTAGAAAACTCCGTCTCACGCGTGAAGCTGTAAATGGGAACTTCTACTTTCGACAGGTATGATTTTTCGCTGGAGTTTACTTATTTCTTTTGACTGATACAAGACCACTTTTTTTCTAGCTTCTAGCGGGAAGAGATTTCTGTCTAAACCCCGGGAATATAATAGAAACGCAGGTGAGTGAGGCTTATTTTTTGCTGCTCAAAGTATAGCTCGCCACATTGAGATGTTTACTTCAGATTTTCAACGCTGGAGCTCAGATGCAAAACTACGTCTATTTGGTTGGCGATGCGAAAACTCGCGAGGCTGTAGTGGTCGATCCGGCATGGGACGTCAAAGTAAGTCCTTACATGCGTGGAAAAAATCCTTTTTTTTTATTGGAGTTCCACTAGGGAATCAAAGCCTTCGCAGATGCGGAACACATAAACCTTGTAAGTGAATTCTGTTTTCGGAGATTATTCTAAAAGAATTTCTTTCTCTGCTAAAGGTCGGTGCTGTAGCTACTCATTATCACTTTGATCATACTGGAGGCCCCCCTCCGCCTCCTTTCGATCGACTTATGATCAAGCTGCCGGGAGTGCGTCAACTGGCAGTCGAAGATAATCTCCCGGTACAGCCATTGTATTTCTTGTGTTGGTTCTAACTTTTCCTTTTCCATTTTCTTGTGTCTTATAGATTTATGTCAACAAGCATGACGCTGGAACAATCAAGACCAAGAACGAGGTGCCCGCGCAGTCTATAGTCGAGTTGGATGTAAGTGGTGATCGTCGTGCTTTGAGTGTCTATTTCCAATTCTTTTCAGGATTTGAGCACTGTGATGGTGGGAAGCGTGAAACTGGAGTTCATACACACACCGGGTCACACTCCGGGAAGCCAGTGCATTCGTATCAACCGGTGCGTGTCACTCACCTCTTCTTTCTCCGGTTTTGATAAAGCAATGCTGTCCAGAGCTCCGGCTGAGGACATCCTTCTTTCCGGCGATACTCTCTTCATTTCCAGGTACTCTAAATCGACTCTTCTATGTGATAGACGACGCTCTTATGTTTCCCAAAAAAACAAAAAACGTAGCTGCGGGAGATTGGATCTTCCAGATTGCAGTGTCGAGGCCATGTACACAAGCTTACAGAAGAAACTCGCATCCTTGCCCGATTCCACAAGGTAGCGTTGTTTCCATTGACATGTATCTCCATGGCTGGCTACTTCCTTGTAGAGTCTATCCTGGTCACAACTATGGTGGCCCTTCCACCTCCATCGCAAACGAGAAGAAGCACGGGTTCCTGCGACCGATGTCCGAGAGAGAGTGGCTCCAGCAGCACCGCCTCTAGCTCGCGAAGAAGCGGTCGAGTCAAAGAGTGTTTGACCACCTCTGACTCCCGTTGACCGTGGGAGAAAGTTTGGCACAGATTATCATGGTTGTTGTGGTGTGTCCCAAGTAACAAGGCTGGCGGCCTGTGACTCGATTTGGAATTGAATTGCGTATCTCGTTTCCTCGCTTCCAATGTCCCCTTCCATGAAGTTAAAAAAGCTTTAAAACTATACCACCATTTCTTTGTTCCTCGTCTCGGGTGTTTCGCCGGGCCAGTTTGGTTTTGGATGGCGATCGCTAGAGGCACTGCTAATTTGCCACTCTCTCTTTTCCTTTTACAAACAAGGACATACTACACTTACGTAATGTCCACACCACAAAAACAATGGGAGAGTTTAATAACTTATATGTGCTGATACTATTTTGGAATACAATGTGGCCGGAGAGAGTTTCTATTTTGGGTCACACAACCATGTTGTGTTGTTGGGAATGCAGCAAGCAAATCAGTACGACACGTGTTTGCCCCTGCCGTACGCCATTCATTCATTCATGGGTCGCGAAACCAAATAATTCTCTCTATTATTTTTTTTCTCTCTTCTCGATCGAAGGCTTCTTTCTCTCGAGCGATGCTTCACGCGCTCTCTCGTCTCGTTGTCTTCGATCTCGTCGCTCGTGAATTGGATTGATTTTGCTGCTGCTGCTGCTGCTCCGTGAGAATCTGGACTGGGCGATCTCTTTGCTCTCCCAGAGGCAGGAAAAGAAAAGGCAGAATTTTGAGCCTGGCGATTCCTGTTACTGCAGCGGAGAGCGTGAGTGTGTGCTACTATACCTCAAGGCCTGTGAGCAAACAGCCAGCCAGCGCGTGAATAGTCAAGGCTCGAGGTCCAAGGTAGCCGAGAATCTGTAGATCTTCTTCACTTCCCATACTGGAAAACAACTGAGGAAAATCACATGAGACCATTTACTCAAGAGGAAAGAAACGAGACAGGGACAGAGAAGAGAGAGAGAGAAGACGAGTTCTACCTATATATTCGTACCGTTGTCCTTGATGGACTTGAGCTGAGTGCTATAGCTGAAAGAATAGACAAAGCAGAGTTAGATCAGTGCTAGAGTAGAGTAGAGGAAGGATGCTTACTTGAGAAAGGACGAGCAGCAGCTCGGATGATAGATGTTTGAACTGGAAAGCATTCCAATTCACGGCGCTGCTTCACCACCACCGTCGATGGATAATTCAGCACCGCCTCCAACACCACCATCACCACCACCACCAGCGCCAATCCAGCCTCCAGGAGTCGCGGAGGAAGTGAGCTCTGCTGCTGCTGGTGCTGCTGCTACTTCCAATGCCCGTCCTTCTTCCCAGAAAGGAGGAAGGAGAGCGAGAGCCAGAGGGAAAGGCGGTCCAGAGAACGGTCTCTACACGTACAGAGGTGTCCGGCAACGGAGCTGGGGACGATGGGTAGCCGAGATCCGCGAGCCGAGGAGGCGGACTCGGGTATGGCTGGGAACATTTGCGACTGCTCAAGACGCTGCTCAAGCTTACGACATGGCAGCCTGGCGGCTCTACGGCTCCCGAGCTCAGCTCAACCTCCGGCCATCACCCCCGTCGTTTTCTTCGTCTTCTCGACAAGGGAGCGCTGGTGGTAGCAGCGTTGCGAAGCCCAGGATCATACTTCCAAGTTCCATGCGTCCTCGAATGATGAGCCTTCCTCCTCACCACCACTTCCAAATTCCCAACTTCAATCAATTCCTTTCTCATCAAGCCGCCACCAGCTCTTTATTTCCGCTTCCAAATGCCACCGCCGCCACTGCTGTTGCTGGTACTGGTCCTCTACTGCTGGGATCTTCTTCCTCGTTTTCTTCTTCCTCTTCTTTCTTGTACCCAGCAGCAGCAGCATACAGGGAGTCCTTGCAAAGAACCAGTAACTTGAGCAGCAACTCGAGCTTTTCGGTTGCCTGTTCTTGTTGCGTACAGCCTCCGGAGCAGCAAAAGTATCCGGACGTCTGGTATGACAGCATTCTAAGCGACTCCGAATCAAGCCCAAGCCAGCTGACAGGAGGGCCCTCGTCTCCAAGCTCTTGCAGCGGGATTCACTGGCATCTCTCCAATGTTGACGATTCTAACGATAAAAAAGTCGCAAATCATGGACCCTTTGACTGGATTCCCGACATGTTCGACTCGTCAGCGGCCGTCAACGAGATCCTGTCCGCCAACACCAGCAGCAGCAGCACAAGCTTGTCACCAAATAGTTGAGCTCCGTCCGCGCTGATCAATTCTTTCTTTCTTCCTTTTCCCATCTCTTCCCAGTTTTTGTTGCCATTTTTTTCGTTGAATCCAATATCTTCTTTCTAGCTGATAGATGTCGTTGCGAACCAGACTTTTCTACCGCACGTCCGTGGAAGAGAATGAATCCGCAAAGCCAGGAGGCCGAGTTGGAAGGCTCGTCCGCGTCTCGTCCATTCCTGTCTCTGATTCTTGCCACCTCCTCAACGCCTCCGACAGGCTCAATCCCAGGTCTATACCACCCTCTTCGGCATCGAAATCCATTGACGGCTTCCACCTCTCCACCATTGGAGCTAACACGTTGACGGCATGGCTCATGTCGGGCCTCTGATACGGCTCTCGCATTGTGCAATAGCCCGCGAGCTCCGCAACGCTACAGATGCTCTCAAACTCTTCGTCCGTCACCTCCAGGACGGGATCCAGAGAGCTCCTGAAGGTTTCCCGGTTTACTCTCATGCGCTTGAACCAAGTTGGCAAGTGCATCGTCTCCTCCGAGCGGCTTGTGTCCAAAGCTTGTCGACCGGTGATAAGCTCCATCAGAATTACTCCAAAGCTGTAAACGTCCACCTTCGTAGTCACCCGCCCCGTCACTGCAAGGAAATACAGATTCAACGACAAGTATGAGTTGATAATTTGCTTACCTGCATACTCTGGCGCAAGGTAGCCAAATGTGCCTGCCAGCCTCGTCTCCACAGAGACCTTTCCCTCTGGTGCAAGCTTCACCAGTCCAAAATCCGCGACTTTGGCGTGCAAAGTGTCGTCGAGTAGAATATTTGACGGCTTCAAGTCCCTGTGGATGAAACTCTTGTGCGCCAACCCGTGAAGGTACTCGATCCCTCTGGCCACGTCCAACGCAATCGATAACCGGTGTTTCCACGTAAGGTGATGATAGCCGTGCTTTGCAAACTCGAAGAGGTGCTGGCTCAGTGTTCCCTGTGGCATGTACTCGTACACTAAAAGCTTCTCGTTGCCATGTATGCAATAGCCGAGCAGTGCCACGAGATGGCGATGCCTGACTTTGGTGAGGACCTGGATTTCTGCCTGGAATTCACTAAGTCCCTTGTTATTCACCACCGCTGACTCCATCCGCTTCACCGCAATCTTTGTTCCATCGTCAAGTTCCCCCTTGTAGACGACGCCAAAGCCACCTCTGCCTAGAATGCTGTTCTCACTGAAACCGTTTGTTGCCTTGCGTAGAACATGGATGGAGATAACCAGGTTGCCAGTCTCTACCCGCACCTCACTCGGCCCGCTGTGTCCTTCCTTAGCAACACTCGTTGGCAACTTCACTGTTTCTCTCTCGAAGCTCGAGTCCCTTGGATGCACCACGATCGCGCTGGAGCTCTGTACCCGCATGAACCGAGGCCTCTTTCTTCTACACATCACGAAGACGCTGACGGCAGCAGCCACTGCCGCCACAGCGCCTACAACTGGCACAGCAATCGCCGCCGGTGACACTTTCCTTCGGGTACTTTGCTCCGCTCCAGAAGGAGCGTTCGGAGAACCTGGAGCCTGAGTACCGGACGAACCCGACGGGCTGGCTCCGCTCCCTGAGGCAGGCGACACGGGCGTCAGCGGATTTTCATCCACATTGACTTGCAAGCCACTCGGGAAAGGTGGCAGCGGCCCAGACAAGCGGTTCCTGAAGAGGTTGAGGTTTCTCAGCGTCGGAATCTGAACGATTGCTGCAGGAAGCAAGCCCGAGATATGGTTGTTCCGGAGATCCAGTGCCGTGAGACCCGTCAAGTTTGCCAGCGCTGTGGAGATGCTGCCGTTAAGCTGGCAATTCGGAAGTTGTATCGTTGTCACGGTCCCCCTGACACAGTTTATACCGGTCCAGCTACAGGGATCGTTGCCTTTCCATGTCGTCATACACGGAGACGTAAACGCGTCGGCGGCGCCAGCAAAGTCTAGTAAAGCTGTGACGCGGGGATCGCACGGCAAACCTGGAGTAGCTTGGCAGAATCCATTGGTGGAGCCATCGTAAGAAAAGCCAAGCTCCGGCATGGGCCCGACGAGCATGTTCCCCTTGATGGTGAAATTCTTGAGAGCCGGTAGCTGCGTCAGCGACTGAGGAACAACTCCCACGAACTCATTGTCGTTGAGCTTGAGATCTTGCAGTGACGATAAGTTACCCAGACCGGGAGGAATCACTCCAGAGAACTGGTTGACATGAAGCCAGAGCGTCGTCAGCGACTGCATGCTCGCAACGGGATCGATGGATCCCGTAAGTGGCTCGTTTCCCTGCTGGTTGTTCGCCTGGAACTTTATCAAGTTGGAGCCCGCAAAAGTTGCCGGAATGCCACCCCGGAGAGTGTTGTAGGCCAGATAGAGGTTCTTGAGACTGCTCATCGTACCGAGAAAATCTGGGATTGTTCCACCCAAGGTCGTGTTGGTGATGGACAGCGTCTGTAAATTGGAACAGTGTTGGATGTCCGCTGGAAGCGACCACCCCGGTGTAGAATTGACGTGGTTGTCCTCGAGGAAAATCTCCATCACGTTTGTCAGCCCAGTGAAGAAATCGCCCGGGATTGTGTCGAAGGAATTGCCACCAAAGTAAGCTCGCGAGAGGGACGTTAATCCGCTGAGAGATGGGAGCGATCCCGTGAAACCATTCTGCTGGAGCTGGAGCGAATCCAGAGAACTGAGCTTGTTGATGTCGGGAGTGACGGTTCCACCGAGCTGGAGGTTGTTCATCTCCAAGGCTGTGACGGCCGCGCCAGTGCATTTGATGTGAATCCATCGGTCCCCGCAAGGATCGCTGTTCTTCCAGTTTGTAAGCACTGATTTCTGGTCGATTCCCTGGAGAAAACTCTGTAAGACCGCCAGGTCCCCGGGATTCGTCGTCGCAGTGCACCTCCAATGCAGCGATACCAGCAGCAGTGCCAGCAAGAGCAGCTTCTTCCATAGATTTCTCGCTCCCGCCATGGCCCCAGCTCTAAATCTCTCCATCGAAGACGATCGACGAGGACGAGCTCCTAGAATCTTGGCAGCACTGAAATCTCGCTTGCTTCTTCGCGACGAAACTCTTGCGCCTAGATCCAGCAGCAAGGATTGAAGGAAGAAAATCACCTACACTGACCTCCAGCTCCCGCTCACCGCCGCCATGGATCAATCCCACCGCCCATTCTAACCCTATAGGTAGCTTCAAGAAAGAGAGCGGCCTTCTTTTCTTCGTTTCCCAATGCCAATGCGGTGCGAACGAATGAATGCTCCACAAAACCATGACATTCCGCATACGTAATCCCAGCGTCAATCCTGGCCCTACATCTGTCCGCCCATTCCAACTGTCTTTTACACCGGAAAACGATTGGTTGGTCGTACAAATGGCCACCGCTTTTTCCAATAGTGGCCAGCCACCGTTTGCCAGCCAGCTCACTCCTGGCAGGACTGGCAGAATATGCTCCGTTCGATCCGTGTTTTAAACTTTTGGCGCCCACATGCTCTCCACATGCCTGCGTTTGACCTAGAGAGCAGCAGTTTTTAGTCAGGGGAACGATTGGAATTCCATGAGATATAATGGGGCAAATTTTTGTGACAAGGTTGCTATTCTTATCATAGTTTTTTTTTCTAGAAGCCATATTTTAACTATCTTGATTCATTCTCCATAGTTAATATTATATGAGCTAAAGTCTACAAGCAATTGAAAAACAAATTGAATTTAATGGCTGTCAGAAACCATTGTAAAATAAATGTATTTGCGATATAGCTCAAAATTCAAATTATTGGCATTAAGAAAAGAAAGTTATAATTTACTCAAATATATTTGACACGGTGATAAGAAACTCATGTTATTAACTTGCACTTGCTAATGTTAGGACCTCAATATTGAGTTTGTGTAAAGAACCAACTCCCTAAGGTGTCGTAGGCTAAAGGATTTCTAAAACCATAATTGGAACAATAAAGAGTTTGTCGAATGGCACTGAGTCCAAGATGGAGTCTGAGACTAACTTCGAAACCAAATTCAAAACCGAGTTTAAGACCGAGTTCAAGACCGAATCTAAAATCCGAAATCAAGTCCAAGACCAAGTCCAAGATTGAGGCTAATGTCAACTCCAAAGTCAAGTCTAAGATTGAGTCTGAGACTGAATCTAAATATTAATACAAGTTGTGGGGTGAAAACCCAAAGTGATTATTTCTTAGGGGGGGTTACAGGAAGTTCCAAAAGTATAATAGGGATAATGAGATTCAAGAATCAATCTTGAAAGAACTTTCCAATAGTACTTTCAAATCGATTTAAAGTTGAGACTAGGGGTTAAAGGCCTTAAGTGGGAGTGAGCACAAACTTAGGTGGTGCCAAAAGGGCCACCTAAAGAACTGCTCAAGAGCAACTCCCACTCTTAGAAAGGGAACTAATTATGATGTTTTCAACTCAAGTGGAGTGATGCCTTATTTAAATATTATGTAGCTTATTGATCTTTGCTCTTTTTTAGGTGCTTAGACCTTTCAATTAGGATGGAAGTGGAGGAGTAAAAGTACCCATATTAAGCCTTTAGACTACAATGTTTCCCTTTAGGGTTTTGAAGCAAGAGATGCATCCAAAGCTTGGGATTTAGAGGCTCTTATAATCAAGTGTTATTATATTAAGAGATGTTAAGAACCTAGAGGCTTGGTGTGATTGGTTGTTTATACTTGTGGGGAGTGTAGCCAAATTTTAAGTCTAATTTAACCCAGAGAGGGGGATTGGGAAAAAAATTGGGAATTTGTAAATGGATGGTTAACACTATTGTTCATGCATTAAGTAGCTGAAACTAAGTAAAAGTTAGTATAATAGGTGGGCACTTTAATAAGGGAACTTAACTAAAGCCAAGGCAGTGGTGGTCAGATAGATGACATAAGTTGGTAAATTGGAAAAGAAAAATTTATGGCTTATAACTTGATCTTTTAAAACTCACTACATGATAATTTATTGTACACTCTTGCTATTTATGTTAATTTTGTTTGGGCTTGTTGACTATTTATAGATAGTGTCTAGGTCTACTAGTCAAATGTATTTATGG